AAGGAAGACCTTTCTCTCTGTCTCTCTCTTTCTCACTGTCTAACTCTATCTGTCAAATAAATTAAAAAAAAAAAAAAAAGATTACCATTCTCTATCCTTGACTCCTTTCTTATGAAACTCTCAGCTAGCTTACCTTTCTGATACTGTAATTTGTTTTCTTATATAAAATGGGGCTAATAATACCTAGTTCACAAGTTGGTTATAATTAAATGCAATAATGTATATAAAATATCCAGTAGAGTATCTGAAATATACAAAGTACTTAGTAATTACCAGCTCTTTGTAGTGAAAATTATTTTTATCACCTTGCATATAGCTATTCTTTTCCAAAATAAAAAGAATGTGGAACAGCTGTCTCACTCTTTTCCTATGTGGCTTGCGTAGAGCCAAGGTGAGGCCGAGATCAAGCCAATTGGAGCATTCCTTTCCCTCTGCACAAAGATTGTTTCACAGGTAGACCAGGCCTTTTATTCAAATAAATCATAAGAAAGAGAAACTCCACTTACCCTCTGGTTTTATAACACCTGAGCCTGGAGTTAGTGTAACTATCTCAGTACAAAAAAAGAGCTTCGACGTGCCACAAATCACTACGCATACTGAAAATAATGCCAAAACAGAACGGAAAGCAAAAAAATCCTGATGGGTTTTGTTTGAATTCCAAATCCAGTTATCATCACCAGATGTTTTAGTTGTGGAAGATAATTTTTTTTCTTGAGACAATTCAGATTGGGTTTTCCATTACTTTTATTCTAGAGGGAGTCTACTTTGGCATTAATTATAAAAATGACATTTCCTCAGTATTCTTGATAAGGTGCTATGCTCTCTCTACTCAAAACCTTAAAAATTTAATCTATTTTTAGTGTTGCTACTATCCTATCCTATGTTCTCTCCTGACTTATATTTTCTCACACTTCTGCCTACCAAATCTATCTTTGCATAATTTACTTATGAATGAAAACATTCTCTTCTTTCAAAAGGATACTTGTATTTCAAAAAAACATTCTGCTTCTAAGCTTCCACAGATTTGTAGGTGTGTGTGATAAGTTAGGTGACAGCTTCAATAAGATTAATGTGCTAGGAGGCTTAGGCTTATATTTTATGTTTTTTAATCATTCATTTTTCCCTTTATAATTGAGATCTTTGTAAAAAAAATCTATTTATTTATTTATTTATTTGAAAGGCAGAGTTCCAGAGAGAAAGGGAGAGACAGAGAAATCTTCCATCCACTGGTTCATTCCCCAAATGGCTGCAATGGCCAAACTGAGCCAGGCCAAAGTCATGAGCCAGGAGCTTCTCTTGGCTCTCCCACATAGGCATAGGGCCCAAGAACTTGAGACATCCTCTGCTGCTTTCCCAGGTGCATTAGCACAGAGCTGGTCAAAGTGAAGCAGCTGAGACTCAAACCAAAACCCATATGGGATGCCAGCATTGCAGCAAGTGGCTTAACTTGCTATACTGCTACACCATAATGCCAGACCCTAAGGGCTTATATTAGCAAGAGATATATTCTTTTCTACCTGCGCCATGTCTATATCAAACTTATTAATCTTGAACAATATCCTCCAAGAGTTTATATATTACTTCTATAGATTCATTTTTATCAATTTTCATGTTAGTTAATATCTAATTCACCTAAATATTTACAATCATAATCTTTTTAAACATTTATTCAAAAGACTAATCTCAGACTTCCTGAAATGTAACCAATTAGAAGGCAGAAAAAAACACATATTACAAAACTTAACCAGTACTCAATGAATTGCAAATGAGGATTTTAATTCTAATTCCAATTTTTCTCTTTGAACTTATTTCTTCAGGTAAGGTAAAATTTTACCTTTCTAATGTAAAAAAGTGAGCCTTCCTTCCTCACATAGAAACTGCAGATAGGATTGTTAGCAGTTGATTTTATTTTACTAATTTTTATTAATTTGTTTAGAGAGGCAGATAAAGACAAACATAGCTCCCTTCTCCTGGTTCATTCCCCAGATGCCTGCCATGGCCAGGACTGTGTCAGGCAAAAGCCAGAGGCCAGGAATTCAACCCAAGTCTCCCAGATGGGTGACAAGAAACCAATTACTTGAATCACCACTGCTGTTTTCCAGGGTATGCATTAGCAGGAAGCTGGAGTCGGGAGTGGAGCCGAGTATTAAACCCAGGTACTCCAATATGGAATGTCAAAGGCCCACCCTAGTAGATGATTTTACACCAGGAAGATAAGAGAGTTACATTTTTTGAAACGATCATAATGCAGTCCTTTCCAAGTGACCAGATTCTCTTTATAATTACTCTGAAAAGTATACCAAGTGCCAGCAAAGATCATCCAAAGTCTTTATTTCTTGTGATTCTAATATCTTCTCAAAAATTACATGTACAGGTAGGTGTTTGACCTAGGATTTAAGATACTGGGTAGAATACATGTGTCCTGTATCAGAGTACCGGGGTTTGATTCTCTGACTCTGGCTTCATTCCAGTTTCCTGCTAATTCAGACCTTGGAAAGCTCAAGTAGTTGAGTTTCTGCCACCCACACAGGAGATCTGGAGTGAGATCCTGGCCCCAGAGTTCAGCTCATTGAGAAGGTCCTTGCAGGCATTTAGAAAGTAAACTAGAAGACAGCAGTGTTCTTTCTCACTTTCTTTCTTTCTATTCCTCTCAAGAAAAAATTACACTTATTCTAGTGTCTCAATTTATAGTATAGATAAATTTCCAGCTTTAATCTATTCTATAGCTGTTTGTTACTAAAGTCTTTTCTTCATCAAACACCCAGGTTTTGTTCTAGTGATCAGTTTCCATTAAATTCAAGGCCATTAGTCAGTCTATTAATTTACTGAAACTACATTACTTTTTCATCAGTTATTAAGACCTTCAATATTGACAGCAATCATCCAAGGTGGTAAAACTATCATTTATCTGTGACTTCTTGTTCTTCCTATCCCCTCATCACTAATTCAAGAATTCACAAACAACAGTACAGATTTTAAGTTTATACTCTTAACCATCAAAATCTACAAAGCTATTCGATTATTTTTCCCAAAAAATGAACTCCAGATTTTGTCTGTTCTACTGCATTGTCACTCCTCACCTTCCATATGGAGGACTATACAGTAACAATCTAACTAAAGTCATGACTGTTCACAGTATCTTTCTCCTTTAACAGGCTCCAATTACTTAATTATTCTTCCTATCTTCACCAACTCATTCTTTGACTCAAAATTTTCCTAATAGCTGTCTCCTCCATGTCATATCTAAAATCCAGGGCTTAACTTTCAAAATCCTTCATAAGCTATCTTTCCAATAACTTGACTATTATTCATCCTTAACACATACCCTAATAAGGTCAATGTCAGAAACAGCAACATCAAATTCTTATGGGATATGTGCTAGATGAATAATCATAAACAATTCTATATGCTGATTGTATTAATATTCTCAGAAATATTGATAAACTGAACAAACTGTCAAGCATATACCTGTGGGGAGCAACCCGGACTGGACTGAGTTACTGGAATTAAGACTTATTCTATGCATCTGCTCTCCCACAATATGGCGCTGGGAGAGGAGAAAACAGCTTCTACGCAGCTGCCTCCAGTTCAACCAATAAACTGTAGGACCTACTCCTGATTAGAGGAGAGCAGCGTACTCGGTGTGTGGGCAGCCGAGTTAGGATTGGTGGAGGAGGACTATAAAGGAGGAGAGAGACAACATGCACCAGGAACATCTAAGGGGAACATCTAGCTGAAGGAACACCTGTGCAGCCCCCGAGAGAGCCGGCCAGCGGTGTGCCGCTCCCCTGCGGAAGTGGGGAATGTGGCAGGGGGAACCGCCCTTCCACGGAGGTGGAAGGGATAGTAGCCAACCCGGGAAGAACCAGCAGCAAACCCGGGGAGGGCCGAGCAGACGAAAGAACAGCGCAGGGTCTTGTGTCGTTCCTCCACGAAGAGGGGGAGCGACATATACCAGCTTAAAAAAATGAGATTCGAGAGTCTACTTTCCATGTTAAATCTCTCTACTATATTGTACTGTTCCTCTAATACAATTTGGTCTAGCCTTTGCTTTTTGAATAGTTGATAGCTCTCAAAATCAGGTTTTGTAGTGCTTTACAACCTTTCAAAACACAGAAGACTTCAGAAGCCCCCAGAGAGAATCCCTGTATCTTCTTGGTAGGCCTACTAACCAAAAGTTTTTTCATTGAACTTTATTTTCTATAATTTGTGTTATGAAAACAATTCTTTTTTTCAATCTCAAATATAAAAGTGTATTATAATTTGAGTCAATCAAACCAGTCTCCCACCCTCACAAAATTCTTACTGAATGTAGTTATGGGACCAATTCTTTAATATTGTGAGAGATTAAGATGAAGTCTGAGAATATGATGAAGGTTGTAGGAAAACTAACCCCCCAGAAGAAAAGCAAAACAAACGGAATTCTAGATACAATTTCAGGATAGTTATGAACTCTGAAGTCCAGTCACCTACTACTGGAAAGATTTCAGGTTAAAAATCCGCTAAGAAAACTAAATTCTCCAGGAGCAAGGACTATCATATTGGCTTATCATGCCTTGCACGGTACAGTGTACACAAAAGCTATGTAAGAAATATTCGCTAATTAATAACTCATAAAAATAATCAGAAAACAAGACATCCTTTCTTCCATTCGGGTCCTTTAGGAAAATGACTTTAAAAGTCTGAAATCCCCTTTCATAGTGACATTAATGATCTAACATCAATAACTCAAAATCTATTATTTTGCTATTCACTTGTGGACCACACGGCCATTCACTAATCCAGGTCTTCTCTTCTCCCCGTTGGTCCTCCACTCCCTTCAAACTCAGTGCTGCCTCCTTCGCATCCCACGAGCTACACCCAGAACCCCACTAAATCCAGGGAGACAAAATAACGGATGCTACACGAAGCACACACCCTCAGAGCAGGTAAGGGGGCATCCAGGGACGGCTACAACTTCCGGACGATTCCTCACCATGGCTAGAGGGGAAGAGATTTACCTCAAGTTTCAGGAAAGAGGTGGCGATTGCTCGCACAGGACTGGGACCAGCTGCCAAGAAGCCTCCTAATCTCCCCGTCACCATAGTGACTTCCAAGAGCAAGACTCCCTGCCTCTTCTCGCGAGAGTTCCCCAAGGCGCGTCATCGGAGCGGGCCCTACACCCCGCCCTTCAAAGCCCGCCCTCTGCTTCAGGGGCGTGATTGAGCTGGAGCCCTGCCTCCAAGTGTGGGCGGAACCCTGTTCTGTGTTTTTTCCTACTTCTCGAAACTCCAAAGGTTATTTGTTCAAATAACTATCAAAGTTATGCCACTGTGTCGGAACACAGAGAAAACATTCCCTCGCTCCTTTTCATTTAGCAGAAACTTCCCCGGCTGCCTGTGTCCGGCCGGGAGTGTACGCATGCGCAGGAGCGACTCGAAGATGGCGGTGGCAATCGCCGCACTTTTTTTCAAATTAGTGGCTCCCAGAAATCATTGCGCGCATTTGTAACGAATTTCCGTTCGAGTTTGTATTTTAGGCGCCATTTTCGAGTGAAGGACCCGGAGCCGAAACACCGGTAGGAGCAGAGGGGGTGGCGTAGCCAACCGTTTCCAGCCCCGTTCGGAGCGGACTGCCCCTCAGGTAAAGTCCTTTTTTTCCTGATTCGGTTGTCACGCTCGTACTTCCTGCCCGGCCGCGAGCGTCTGGAAAGTCGAGGCCTTGAGCGGCGAAGTCTGGGCTGAGGCTGCCGCCCGGAGATTTCTCGCTGTCACCCCTCCCCCCGCGGCCGCTCCCCGGCGGCCGGGGCTCCCGCGCGCACCTCCGGGGCGCCGCTGCTGCGAGCGCCTCTCGAGGGGGCGCCGAGCTTCGAGCGTCTCCTCCAAAAGTCCTGCGCTCCGTCTGGGGAAGGGCGTCGCCCCCTGCCCCCCTGCCTGTGGCTTCCCTGGGGGGAGAGGGCGGAACACCAGCTTCCGAGCCTTTACTGCTGACCTCTCGCGGTTTACTAGCCCGCGGGACTCCGCCCCGGGACGAGGAGCCCCTGGCACCCCGAGGTGACTGAGGCGGAGCGGGGCGCCGCGCTGTCCGCCCGGGGAGTGGCTGCTGTGGGTCCCAGCCGCCGGCCGCCCTTCCCCGTCGGGCTGCGGCGAGCGGCCGTCAACGGCGCCGGGAGCCCAATGGCGGGGAGAGGAGAGGGGCGGCGGAGCTGGGAGCCCGGCGAACCCGAAGCCCCAGCGAGCTCCGAGTCGGGTGCGGGGATGTCCGAGGCGGCCGGGGCGCGGGCGCGACTTGTTTCGGAAGTGGGCTGGAAGACGGTCCCGCACACTGGCACCGCGGGCGGGCGGGCGCCTGTAGTCGGAACCACCCGAGCAGTCGCCCAGCCCTCGAGTGCGGTTCGCGGCCCCGTGTAGGTTTCCCCCCAGCTCCGTGGGTCTCGTTAGGAACACCGATCCTGCCCTGTTGACACTGGGGTTTGTTGTGACTTCTTTCCTGAAGACCTGCGCGCCTCGGATGGGATGTTTGAAAACGGAGCTCTCGGAACCTGTGGCCGCGACGGGCTTCGGAAAGTGGAGCAGGCAGTGGCGGGTGGGCTTCGGGCTGAGCGTCCCGTCGCGCCTGCAGCCGGGGAGGTGCGGGCGCGAGCGCGGGGCAAGCGACAGGCTGCTTGACTTGCTGCCCACGCTCTCCGACCGCAGCTACCATGCCTCGGAAAGGCACCCAGCCTTCCACCGCCCGGCGCAGAGACGAAGGGCCGCCGCCGACCCCAGACGGCACCGGCAGCGACGCGGAGCCCGAGCCGCCGTCCGGCCGCGCCGAGAGCCCGGCTGCGGGCGCAGGTGAGTAACCCGCTGCAGCTCCGCAGGAACGCGCGCGGGGGGACGGGGTGCGTCTGCGCCCAGCCTGAGACCGGCTGGGGTTGCTGGGCGCGGGCCAGGGGCTGCGGACTTGACCTCTGGAGGTCCCGCGCCGGCCCCGTAGCGAGTGCAGCTCAGGAAAGCCGCCCGGCGCTATTCAGATAGGACTCGCGTGCAATTTCCGTGTAACGGTGCCGGAGGGGATGGGGGCGAGCAAACGGCTTCGATTGCGATTTTGTGGTCTTTTAAAATGGCACAAACACCTTTATTGTATTTCCACTGAGATTTTGCTAGGGTAAGCTAGGACCCGTTGGACTCTTTTCATACAGAACCATGAACGGTACGAAGTTGCTTGACCCTAACCTAATCTCCGTGGTCTTAGAGTGCTTTTAAACAGGTGATGATTCCTTTGAAACTACTGTAGTTCTTGTGGGTCCGGAATTTGGCGACATTATGAAACCCCTGAGACAGTGTCAGCGACACTTGTAAGTTTCCAAAGTGAATAATCCAAGTGACCAACAGAGCCTTAGAATTTAACTCCTGTTTAGGATGGGTAGCAAGGGATCAGCGTGTGGTTTTTCCAGATCTGGTTTCTGATGTAGTGTTTTGACTCCTAAGAGGTATACTTAAAAAATATTTAGTAACTGATGGCATTTCCTTTTTAGTAAAACCAAGCCGAAAGTAGAATCTTATCCCTGTGACTTTAGGGTAATACTATATTTTTGTGGAAGACATAAATGTCTGGTTTTCATAAGTAGTATCCCTCCTTTCCATTTTTTTTAGGATTAGCCAGAAGTAATCTTCCAAAGTAATTGCACTAATGTACACTTCTCCCCTCCCCCCTTGCCTTCCCTATCCTTCTTTGACTTAGAGACTCCAAGTGAGGAACTTGATAATAGAAGTTTAGAAGAAATTTTGAATAGTATTCCCCCTCCCCCACCTCCAGCAATGACCAATGAAGCTGGAGCTCCACGGCTTATGATAACTCATATTGTAAATCAGAACTTCAAATCCTATGCTGGGGAAAAAATCCTGGGACCTTTCCATAAGGTATTTGTACATTTTAAAACTATTGTAATACATCTTTATTGCAAGATCTTTCCACTTTTTGTGGAATGGTTAGAATTAGAACATCGTCTGATTTAAGGTATTGTAGCTTGCAAAAGGAGAACATAATATAGAAAATGTGTCTTCTAATAATGAAAATTTTTACGGCAAATAAAAGCGAAAACAAAATTAGTGTTAATATGACCGTCTAAATTTTTCTTTTCTTTTTATACAGCGCTTTTCCTGTATTATTGGGCCAAATGGCAGTGGCAAATCCAATGTTATTGATTCCATGCTTTTTGTGTTTGGTTATCGAGCACAAAAAATAAGGTCTAAAAAACTCTCAGTACTAATACATAATTCTGATGAACACAAGGATATTCAGAGTTGTACTGTAGAAGTTCATTTTCAAAAGATAATTGATAAGGTAAGGGGCTTCTGCTATTCGGTTATTTGCAGCTTCAAGTAAGGAAAACAGAGAAGAAAACTTCAATACTTTGCACATTTGATTGTTTTTGGCTTAAATCAGCTTTTAAAAATTTTAACTAAAGCAAAAGAGATGGTAATTTTAATTAACTGTGTAACGATTTTTTTCTTTTTGAGGAGTAGGGGTTCCTGTTAATAAATTTTTTAGCCGGAGAAATGAAGTATAAATAGCTCATAGTAATCCTTACACTTTCTGGACAAAACATTGAGCAGTTTTAGGATACTGAGTGCTAAATAGGCATTCTTTTACTATAAATTTGAGCTCAAATTTTAAAAGTTATATTTTTAATTGCTTAGAATAAATTTACTAAACTTGAAAATTTTTATGGTTGAGTTATTTTTACCAACACCATTATTTCAGTGCACACTGAGGTTAGTTTATTTGTGGTTTTCTATGTCTGTGATATGATGAGCTTTTCTTTGGTTGGAACTATTTGATTCTGTTGATTTTTTTTTTTTCTTTTCTGTTTAATGAATAATTTTAGGAAATTCGTGAATCAAAACTGATTAAATAGAGCTCAAAAATAAAACAACACGTATAGTGAAATTGGGGAAATGACTTGGTTTCTGGGCTTTTTTTTTTTTTTTTTTTTAGCATGAAGGGCTTTAGTTGCACAGAAGCATCTAGTTTATTAATGCATTTTGTTGAGTAATTTGGATTAGAAAATAGATTGCCAGTAAATCAGATGTTATTCTATTGCTATTAGCTTTGATTCATCTATATTTTTAAAACAAAGCTTCAGTATAGCAGAGCTTTTACGGTCAGGGAATGTGAGTTTTAGTATTAAATCAGGAATTATTGATTCTTTATGGTTGTTCTCTTTACCTTTGATTAAATCTGTCAACATGATTTAATTAGATGGGTGAGTTTGTTTTGGGTGTGATGGGATTCTTGTCCATCAGCTCTTCAAATACGATTTTAGGTTTGTTTGGGGATGGGTTTTTTGGTTGGTCTCTTTACTTTTTGGTTTTTGTGATCTTTGAGAAAGGTGCCAACTTGGAAAAGTGTTCTTTGCCAAGCAAGGTTATTTCTGAGAATTGCTGCCAGTTTGTAAGCATATTCAGTGAAGTTTTTAATCCACAGTATTCATTTCCGTATGAACTGAGTGAAATTTGAAGCAGACCTGTGACTTAATACCAACACTTGTTTTCTGGTTTTGTTTTTCCTCAAAACAGGAAGGAGATGATTATGAAGTCATTCCTAACAGTAACTTTTATGTATCCAGAACGGCCTACAGAGATAATACTTCTGTCTATCATATAAGTGGGAAGAAAAAGACCTTTAAGGATGTTGGAAATCTTCTTCGAAGCCATGGAATTGACTTGGACCATAATAGATTTTTAATCTTGCAGGTGAGATTATTAAAGACTTCAGAAGGTCTTTCTTATTACTTTTTCCCCCCCAACAATGCCAGAGAGGTTTCCCCTGTTGGATGAATCCTGTGTTTTGAGGCCTTAAAGTACTGTAGCAGCACATCATGGTTTACATAATATAGTCAAGATGCGAATCATAATTTGCTGCTCTAGAAATTTAAGGAAACACACTCAAAACTGGATTTTTATCATCTGATGCTCATTTTATGTTTAGATGGACTGACTGACTTGTTCCGCTCTAGCAGCACGTAAATATTGGCGTAGTGAAATAAATATTAAACACCAATATTATTGTGCTGCTTTAGCGTGACAGGGATATAACAACTATTTAACACTTCTGTTTGTATTTCCCTTTAAAATAACATTTTAAATGAGTTTCATTCTCTTTTAGTAGTCCTCTTTTTTTTCTCTTCTAATAT